CACTCATCTTGACTCTTGACTCGCCTTGACATGCAGCCTGATCCATGCTTCGGGCGAACCATGCTGTTAGCAGTGGTGCACTACACTACACTACCATAACTACCTGAGTCGGTGGGAACTTGGGTAATGGTGTGTATTTCCTGTAAGCGTGTAAGCCGCTGCCCGAGGAAAGGAATAGAGCGCAACTCCATATCCACGCCTGAGTTCTGTTCAATCCAGTGTTCAAGATGTCAATCTGTGCAAAGAGAGAAGAATATAGGGAGGGGGAAAGATACCTGCCTCGAGACATTCAGGGCAAGAACAAAAGATCGGGAAGTAGATGCCGTGCCTCACGTGTTGTACCTGGCGCTTGCCTTTTCGTTCTTGTCTTAGATGGTGGTGGTTCTTGCCCCAAAAGATGGGAAAAGCAAACACACGTCTTAGCAGAAGGGGGAAAAAAGGAAGTTGCCCCCCCATTTTGGCGCATGCCATCGACAGCAGCCACGAAGTCCAATGGCTTCTTCTTTGCCCATTCCCCGTCTTTGCCTTGTGTCTCTCCAATGGGCGTTGGGATTTTATTTTCCATGTCTCTCCGTTGTCTCTCGGCGTCGCTCTCTTCCAGTCTCTGATTCTTACTCATCAACGTCTTTCAAGTTTCGACCCCAACAGCAATACTACCTACCGTCCCAAGCGTGTAAGCGTACCTCTCACGACCTTCCGCTCCAACAGCACCTGCGAACCCCATGTTCCAAGTTCCGACTGCGCACCCACCGGCACAGTCGTCTTTGACATTGAGGGGCCCGGTTTGCTGCAGTACCTTGCCTAGGTAGATGCAGTGACTTCTGCAACCAAAGACCAGCAGCAAATGTCCGAAGGAATGTGCTCCGTTTATCGCTTGGCCCATCCGACTCTTTACAAGTTCAGATCGCCCCATCACCCCACCGCTCGTCGTACACTTCGGTCGATTCGTGCTGCCAGCCAACGTCAGCTGGGTACTATGTATCGAGTACTTCTTGCTCCGTCGCTATCGCCGCCGTCATCCAGAGTATTGATATCACACACCACCCACACTATCCGTATGCGTACATGACACAGGCAACCTCTAGAAGAGAGTGGAGGCCCTAGCTCTGGCCCGCCTCAAGATGTCTCTTCGTCCCACCAAGCCCACCTCAGCTCAACGTTGCCGAACCTGACAGAAGCATACAGACGGCCTTTCGACAAAGACCAAAGGGTGTGGTATTCTATCCGGCGTTCCTGGCTAACGCATGGCCGTCGCTATCAAGTCAATATCGACGCAACCGAACAATCCATTTCCTCGTATGTGTAAACCAGAGCCTGCTTCAGTCAAGTGTTGGTCTGTCACCAGTCCCTTCTCGGCTACATATGATCAATTGGCTCTCTTTTGGGTCGCTCTCGCGCTCAACCCTGCTATCACCCTCGTGTAGCGGGCGGGGAAGCATGGCTATATCGACGTTGCTCATCACCCTCCGCGGCATCGATCGCCTCTGCGCTAGCTCGTGAAAGTCAAGAGGACGACAGCCGTGCTGACCGGCCACGAGCCGAGGAACCCTCCAAACCAGATCGGGTTCAAGGCTCAAGCCACCACAGGGGAACGAGAAAAGCAAACACTGCGACAATGAACCATTTCAACCAAACCGGGAACTGTTTCATTCCACCCGAGCGTGGTCACCACTACCGCCTCCGACTTTCCCGCGTGAATCGAGGCCAGCAATCTCCCTAGGCACCTGGAAGCCCACCACTCCATCGACTATGGACTACAGGTCCACAAGAGACTGGTTGCTCTTCGACAAACCGAGCGCCCGGCTAGCTGACGCTGCAGTGAAGTAGCATTGGCATCTGACGCTATCACACCAATGTCTCAACCCTCCCTTGGACCCGAAGAGTGCAGCAGATTGCACTGCAGCTCTGCATTCTTATCGAAGCGGGCACCGCAAGCATCCAAGCGTCTACGAGACGCTTTTGCTGCAGTTCGGAGCTGGCCTCTTACCTCGCCTCTGGTCTGCATCCACCCGGCCATTGATTCCTTACTCAGCGATATGACGAATCGACTACATTTGCTTCGCATGGCCTCCTTCGTCGTCGGCTGCCCACCTCATATGCCGTTATGTGTCGCATGTTTGTTCCACGAAACGCAAGAGCCAATCATCCAGCATTGATATTGAAAGATGCCGGTTCAGCAGCAGGCGGGGTCACTCGCGGTTTCGATGCGACCAGCCGTTCAAACTCTTCCACTCTCCTCACACGCGTGTGACATGCGGGTGGAGCAGACGTTCGGAAGTACTTCGTAAGGCATGCAAGAATGAAAAGGCAGAAATGAGGGCACTAGCTGGTCGGTCTGAATATGTTCGACTAGCAGTCAAAACCTGGCGGCCTTGCTGGGCTGTCTTCCGGGGAGATCGGCCTCAGCAGCACCGGCGACAACCCCCGTACGTTTCCGGATTCTTCTACGGCAAGGCGTTCCAAGGTTGAGTCCGTTTATACGGGCACGCGCGTGGCCAACGCCGATGAAATGCCAACGGGTGATTGATGCGTCAATCAGCACACCACGTTGTCTCCGATTACGCCAAAATTCCGTTGGCCTTCGTGTTCCTTTGTTCTAAATTAGCGAGTTCCTTGGATTGCTTGTCGCTGGCCGTGGCAATATTCGTGTTCTCCGTCAAAGAAGCCAAATTGTGTATCAACGAGGCCGTGGATTCAAGGTAGCGAACGCGGATACGGACGATCAATTCGTCCCAACCACCTGGAAACTTCGCACATACCCCAGAATGCAAGCAGAGAAGTCCCACCCAGAAGCACAGTCCCACTCGCAGCATACCAATCAGATGCATGTTCAGAACCGCTACGTCGTCTCTCGACCCACCGCAGCTTGTTCACTGATTACCAACATCAGAAGTGTTTCTGGGAGGCCAAACCTCGACCACGACTGCATAGTTGACGCGTATGCTTTTGCCCGAAGAGCGGCTACAACTAACATCTCGTCAACAAAACGATGTGCCAGGTCAATCCACTGGGTTTGCAGTCATCTTTGGTAACCGGTGCGGTCAATTTGGTGGCTCCGCGCTGTTTCCTATTCTAGAAAAAGTTCCAGAGAAGGAGAATTCCCGACTGTCAACAAAAATTCGATGTTCGAGACTCATCTCGCGTGTTGTCTCTGCCAAATGTGGGAAGCCTTGGCCGTGGTTACCGTTTTGGCTTGACCGCCAGCCTCTTGGAGGCTTAAAATAGCAGGATTGACCTTGGACGTTGCTCCAGATGGGAAATGAAAATCCCCGCTTGTCCAGACGAAGCCGGAGATGGATGGAGCGGAGAGAGCAACTTCAAGAACAAGGTGCCACTTGGAGAACCAAGCCCCATCAATCTTCAGACGATCCGCTCAAGCTCGGTGAGCACTGTGGCACTGTCCAGGGGTTTCGGTTTGTTTTCTTTCACTCCTCCACTATTTGACTCACTGAAGAATGTTCGCCGTCAGGGGAGATGCGGGAAACCGCACGACGATGGAGACAGTACAGACAGGCTGGGTCCTCTTTCTGGTCTGGACTCGCCGCGTCGGCTACTCACCAGACTTGTGGCCAACTCCGACTTTTATTCAGGGGCGACAATTGGATTCGTGGGCCAAGACGCAGGGCGAGCGCCGTGCCCCATATGAGTTTCGAGCGCAGATGAGCCGTGTGCTAGATTAACAAGTTGTCGGGGCTCCGGTTCGAAATGGTACGCTGTGCTCCGTACGTCTCTTCTTCTGCGTCGTCCTTGCAGGGCAAGGCGAGCCCGGACGGCCGCAGCCGGGGGAAAGTGTCTGTGCAACTGGCGCGGCCATTCATTCTGCCTGGTTGAGGTTCAAGTCGGATTCACCGGGTGCCAAGGACGGTTACCAAACGTCCATTCAGTGAATAATCTGGGATGGTGAGCCTAGGAGGGGGTCGGGGATGTCCCACAAATGTCGACCTCGCCTCGTGCGTTGTGGGGGGCAACTGACGAGCAGAAAAGGGAACCGAATGGATTTTCCATCAAGTCGGAGGCATTTGGCATGGGCCATGTGGATTCTGGACCGTTGCTGCAGCCTTGTCTTGGGATTCTCCGAGAGTTGTAGAGTTGAAGACTCCAGACTCCAGTGAATCCAATGAGCAGCGGTCGATCATTTGGTGGGAAAAGCTGAGAAAGAGAAGATATTGCACCAAATCCAACCTTCAGAGAATTCCGAGTGGAGCAAAACGGCCAGGGGGCGGCAGCGGCGCCCAAGCTTTGCCGGCGATCGTCACAGGTTCAGATTCACGGTTGTACGGGAACCGGGGCCACCGCGAGCCCTGCACTTTTTCTCACCCGTCCACTAGGCCCTACCTGCCCTGTCCCCGTTTAGCCCAATGAAGTTTGCGAGGAGAAAAACTGCAGGGAGAGACTGAGAGAGGGTTGAGCTGGTTTTCAGCTTGTCCTGTCCAAGGTCCAGGGTCCCTGCCTGCGCCGGGCAGTGCCAGATGCCATGAGGTCATCAAAACCCCTGCTCTCCTTAATCTCTCCGCAACAAGTTCTTCCTGGTTACCAAGCGGGTAGAAACTCTTTTCGCAGTCCTTGTTCACCCCTTTCATTGCAGCTGGCAGCAAATGCCTAGCTTTCCAGTAGTCATCACTGGACGATAGTTCGGACAGACTTTCCAGTGAGCGCGCAGAGACTTCAACAACAAAAAGTATTCGTTGACAAACTGTTGAACGTTGCGAAATGTTTTCTTTTTGGCCCTCTCTTCTAGCGCCGAAAATTGTTCCAGAATAAAGGTAATTGAACCCCAGAAAACCAGACTAAGACGCCCGCCAGTCGTAAAGTTTGCTGCACTACAGATATCGTACACGCCAAGTGACGGCCCAATGAAACGCCCATCATTCGCTCCCCGTTGAAAAAAGTTCGTGGTCCTCGTGGTCCTCATGGTCGAGGCACAGATGAGATCGTACCCCGACTAGGATTTTAAGCTTCAGTCTAATCTCATTTTTTTTTTATGAGGCTGAAGTTTTTGTTTACAACTGCTTCTTCAGCCCGCCGATGGAGCCAATGCCGTCTGCGACGTCGGCTGCCTGCTTGTTTCCCTTGAGCTGGTCTATGGCGCAGCAATCGTTAGTGGGTCGCGGAGACTTATCAAACGGTTCTTGGGGGTGTTCTCGACTCACCATCGACAAAGTCTTGTCCGGCCTTCATGCCCTGTGCCTGCATCTTCTTCTTTTCGGCTTCCGCCTTGGCCTTGAACATCATGATGCTGTTTTGCGCAAACGGGTGGTCAGCTTGAGGCTGGAGATTTTTGGGGACCTTATTTGTGAAGAAGAAGGTTAAAACTCACCCGACTTGCTCGATGAGGGGGTCAAGCATGCCTTGCTGGTAGGCGAAGGTGCCCCCGAGGAAGACGGCGAGGATGATGGCGAGGGAGATGAGGAGGGAGTTGGTGGTTGAGGTCTCCATTGTGAGTAAGTTTTTGTTTTTTTGGTGATATGTACCGTAGGACCGTGTATGTGTGGTATGAGTATCAAGGGGGGGTGGGAAGACGATGTTGCGCAAAGCCGGTTGTTGAATGATTTACAAGTGTAGAGATATCATGGCATTTCCAATTTCACTGTCCATTACTGCTCATTTATATCTTCAATTTTTCAAGCACATCTCAATCCAAAAAAACTTGATCTGATGCATAGCTTTCCTCTCACATGCAGGTTTGCGTGTGTGCAACGCCTGCTTTCCGTGCCTCTCTGTCTCTATCTTGCGCGTGTGGTATTGAATGTGAGCGGGCGAGAAGAGGGATCGGCAATGACGTCTCCCCGTCCCCGTTTTCATGCCGGCCTGCCTTGCGTGGGGTTGGCTACGCCGCATGGAAGGAGGGGCCAGAACGCGCAGCCGGGAAGATCAGGGTCTCTGGGTCGCAAACTTGCGTCAGAGGGCGGCGAGTTACAGCAGAGAGAGAAAAAAGACATCATTCTTTTGATTCTCTCGGTGGGCTTGGTCATGGAGGACTGAATGATGGAGACTTGATTGTTGGCCTTGGTACGGCCTTTTTTCCCCCTTCATCGTTCTATTCTCATGCAGGTAGCCCGCCGGGCAGGCTGGAAACAGGGGTCGTTACTGGTCGGTGGTTGACTGTGTTCCCAACGGGGGCCGAGACCACAACTTCCCCCGCAACCTCATTCTGTGTATCCTTGGTAGGTAAAGCAGAGAGCTCTTTTCGGCTCCGAGGTCGTGCGGCGGGGATATTTCCCGCCATTATGGCTTCAGTGCTGGGGGTCGTCGTCGTACGAGTTGGCTCAGCTCGGGACAATGAGCGGCTAGGATGGAGGGGAGGGGAGGGGAGGGGTGGTTGGTCTGCTTCCCCGGAGCTGGACTGAACCCTGGGCATGGCGATGTTGGGTATCGATCTCATTGTGCATGAGATTTGAGGATTCATGGCTTTTGTCACTGTATGGTATCCCAAAATACCGGGGGGCATGTGTTGCCCTCTGGCGGTCTTATTCCAGCCTTAGCATGGCTATCAGCAGTGAATAGCTCCTTTCCCGAGTCCATGAGCTCGGCAGTTGCGTGGGTATGAAGTCCTCATCTCGGAGGGGGTTGGCTAGGCTGGTTAAAGTGGTTGCAGTTGCAGGGGCTGCGTGTTATATGATGCTAGGTTTGTGTTATATGCCAACTCATTGCTATTACACTACGCCGCCGCAATAGCCATGTTCGGGTATTTGTTCTAATGCGCCCCCTTTTGGCTTTTGGAGGCTGACTTGAAGGCTGAGATTAGCCGTCTGTTGCCGTTGAAGACTGTTTGGACTGGGAGCTGATATGTTTGCGAGTGTTATACCCTCCTCGGGTTGAGGTTTTCACGACCTCAGCTTGATGGGAATGTCAGGTATGATGCGCTCTGTGATGTTGGGGTTTGCTCTAACAGTATTCTATCTTGATAGAGTTGAAACGACCCGGTATTGGCTGCATACTTACCCCACCGTGTACCTTTTGGGCCTTGTTTCTCGGGATGGTGACAATTCTTGCATGAAGTGAGAACTGATTCTTTGCAGTTTCCCGACTTTGGATGTTGAAGAGCCGCTTACAGATATGATTGAGCTGTACTTATAAACTCATTGGTAGTCCGGCATCCTGGGGTGATTTTTTATGTCACGAGTCTGTGGCTGAATATTTGAGCGACGAACAATCGTCTTTTGGTTCAGTGACTACTTGTCTCATCACAGTTGTGATTCAACTTGATAGTAACACGTCGTTCAAGGGTGAGAGAGACGGAGAAAGTGAAGAGGTTTGGCCAAGGCACCAGCTTGAAAATACGTTCAAGTACGGAGCAAAGCCCCCCCTCAAGCCATGCTCATAACTAGGCTGGTGTCGTTCTGTGACTGTGTTCCAGCTTTCTAGTCGTGACGAGTACATACCTTGATGTTATTATGCTTGCTGCAGGATGGCAAACCACGGCAAGCTCGTTTTGTCATTTGTGGAAGTGGCCATAAGCTCTTGGAAATGGGGTCACCTACTTCTTTGATTGGGAAATATCTACGGATCAAGAGTTCGGTAATTTCGATTTGCTCTCACATCTCACTCATCAAGATATCTCACTACTAGGCTGTTTTCTTCACAACCAAGTTTTCCTGCGCAAGGCGTTCTGGTATCGAGTCTCCCTGCAGGACCGAAAGCCACCAAAAGGCCTCAGCTTCTCACACGAACTATAGAGCCGTTGTCCTACAGTGCAGTGCTTCAACTACAAACTGGCAGCCTCCTTCTTGGCCGTGACCTCAATCTCAATCATCATCACGTCCTCCATCAACGCCGCCTGGATCATGGTCGCCGCGGGGCGGACGTCGCCAAAGTACTTTTGAAGCACCGGCCATGTCTTTTGAAAGTCGTTGCGGTCGGGGAGGATGTAGCGGACGCGCACGACATCCTTGATCTCGGCGCCGGCCTCGGCGAGGGCGGCGGCGATGTTCTCCATCGTCTGCTCCGTCTGCTCGACAATGTTGGGAGATATGACGCCTGTTGCGTAGTTGTAACTGTGCCGTTGGACTAATTAGCATATATGCCCCAACTGTACACGGGCGTTTATAAACCATGATATGAATGGGTGGGCTGGGATTGAAGGTGGAGGGAGACACGGACCCCGTGGTTCCAGACACAAAGATGAGATCGCCCGAGACCACCGCGCGGGAGTAGCCGATTTGTGCCTCAAAGGCAGAACCTGAGCTGATGTTTCTTCGGGACATGATGGGCTGAAAGAAGGGCCGAAGAAGGCTTGATGCGAATTGATGCGAGATGTTGTGTTCGTCAGTTGTAGTTGTGGAAGGAAAGCGAAAAGGACGTGGTGGATATGATATAAGAGGTTGAGTCACTCGCAACATCCCAGGTATTCCCACATGTCAATCTCGCGATTTCTACGGGAAAAGATGAACTAAGCCAATCAGAATCTTGTCCACAAGCCTGTAATGGCCGTATTAGGACATGGGCTGGGGATGGAAATGACATTTGAACATGTTATCCAAATAAAAAACACCCAGCTTTAAAGCGACGCGAACGCAATCAAGACTGTATGAGACGCAACAGGTTTCGAGGCTCGGCATACACGGTCTTTGAGGCGTTTGAAGTGCGCGAAAGATAACTCGAGTATGATGCCGGTGTTGGTCACACGCGCGATGAGTCAAGCAGCCATTTTGCGGTCATCTCTTTAGGTACGGATAGGTCAACGGGCGGGTCTTTTAGAGATAAGATACACCCACCGGACCAACCTGAGTATGGAAAAAAAATCGAAACATGGTGAGAGCGGCCTTGCTAAATTCCTCTTCAATATTCATGGAAGTTTGGCGTGTTGTAGTGAGCGTGTGTGAGAAAAAGTCTAAAAATCAAATGATGTTAGGACGAGCGGGGAAAGACGATTTCGACTGAAGATTAGACGAGCTGCAGTTCGCCGCACTGTTCAAGATAGACTAGATTCCGAAGAACACGATCCAGGTCGCTTTTTTAACATCACAATCTTCGGTTCTGCCTTGGAGTATTCAAGCAATGATGACCTTGGCTAAAATCTTGACGTCCGATCGTGCTCTGGGACGGTATGAAAAATGTACCTTTTTACCGATCGTCTTGGAAGGTACGAGTAAGCCATGACCTGCCTCCTTTTCCTCAAATTGGTCATCGCGCATGTTCGTGACTGCCTTCCTTTACTGGAACCCATCTCATCTATATGGTTCCTTCTAGAAGAGAGCTGGGAGGCAGGTACGTCGAACGGTGGCCTCATGTGCCATCACTTCGGTTTCTACAACTGTCCCTGATGTCATTCTCTTCCATAACGTCAGACCCAACTGCCCTCCTCAGCATCTTCGTTCTAATTCTTTCTATAATCCCCTTGTCAATCAAATACAAAGCAATCGATTTGCGAGCTATACATCGGGGAGAATCTGATTCACCAAACAGTGGAAGGTAGAAGAGTCTTCGCAGTTCAACTACCATCATGTCCGTCTCGCTGTCTTCGGAGTTGTCGTCTCCGCCCTCCTTGACACAAGAATCTACCCTCTATTCGGAATACAGTCCAGACGAGGAGCCACAGACACAGAATCGAGCTCAGGCCGAGCCCAAGACAAGATCTGCATCCACAAAGTCATCATTTCTCAAGTACCCGGCCGACATCCAGCGTCTTACACGCCGCGGGCTTTGCACCTATGGCATCAACACGGGCCCAGTGCCAGATGACACGGACTGGGCCAGGCTTACTGTTCCTATGCTTAAGGAGCAGCTCGCCATGCGTGAGATGCCGGACGATGGGAAGAAGAGTATTCTCGTCGAGAGGCTCGAGAACTTGAGCACGTACAAGCCTGAGGTCGTTGCCATCAGAGACGCTCCTGACGACAAGCCATTCGGCCCTATCTCCAAGAACACTAGCAGCAACGGCGAGAAGCGCTTCTTTGTTGACACAGCTGACAAGAGCCACGTTGGTTCTGTCAAGAAAGCGATGAAGGAAGACATGTTTGTAATCAAGCAGTCCAACGATTCCGATGGTGGAGTCAGCATCGGCATCCGTGGGACTGGACCCGATACGTACGAGGTCATTATCGGAACAAAGACATCATGCACCTGCTCGAGCATAGTGAGTAACGTCGAAGTATCATCAAACAATTGCTAACCTCAACTAGATGTTCAGACCTCGCAGCAATTGCAAACATATAATCTGTTAGGGAAATGCTACCTTTCTCTCTCTCATCCCATTACTGACGAAATCGCAGACGTCCTGACGCATGTCTTCCGGGCACCTGCAGAGCTACTCCCACAGAGAACGCTCTTTTCCGAAGAGATCGAGAGGCTCATTGAGCGTGCCCCTAAAGTCCGCTTCACAGCAGCGGAGGCCAGCCAAGACCCCTCCATGTCGGACGGTATTGCGAAGTCCAAGGACGGCAAGTCATGCCCTGTCTGCTTCAAAGACATTGGCGAGGCAGGAACGGTGTGCTGCATTAAGTGCGGCAACCACACACACTCATCTTGCTTCGACGTGTATACGCATCAGCAGACCGGATGGGCCCTCACGTGTGCTGTCTGTCAGACTGTCTGGTCGAACTCGGTTGTCTAAGGGCAAGATGACAGTTTTTGAACAAGGAATCTGGAAGGGCCTGGTTGCTATGAGACATGACTATGAAAGGCGTGTGACTGGCTTCGAAAGACCAGTCAGCAGAATGCCTGACGGTGCAGCCGGCTCAACAATTGCTTGCGGTGGAGGGGGAAGCTAACTCTCCGGAGTGTTGTGGTAGGACTTTACGGGCTTGAAATATCAATGAAGACGCATCTCAGACGTACTTTATCATCACTATCGAACTTGAGCCCACGGGAAGTAGATAGAAATGGCTGGCAGTGTTGATTGCCTCTTCCTCTTGACATAAATGGATTCACACAAGCTATGCCAAGCTTCAATGACGTCTGTATTGGTTCTCTTTACCTTACCTTCACCACATCGTCGCTAGGCTGTCTCACCCCTCATATACGGTCTTAGTCTCTTTGCTGTTATTGAGGTTGTCAATTGCCCGAGATCCTGGTTGATGCTGTCCTGCTATGTACCCAGAGAAGGGTCACGTACTGTCTTCGCAGTTTGATCGCGCTGCAACCACATCTTATCATCGCGTACTGAAAGATGATCCGCCTACTCTTCACCCAAATTTACATCGTACTTCTCAAGTAGACTCCCGGAAACCCGTTCTTTCTCATCCCCCTTCGTCATTTTGATGACTGAAATCCCATCATCATCAAAATTATTTCTTGCTCCTGCTTTCAAAAGCATCCCGGTGATTTCTTCATTCCCGTAAAGAATCGACTCATGTGGTAGGCTCCTCCCATACCTACTCCTGCTCGTTACGTTGGCGCCGTGCTTGATCAGAATTTCAACGACATTCGCGTGACTCTCTCTGATAGCCGAGAGCACGAGCGAGTTTCCTTGCAATATGTGGTTTACTTCGGCCCTGGTATGTTCGAGAAGCCATTGGACAACTGCTTCTTGCCCATTTTGGACCGCGCAGTACAGCGGTGTTAGATTAAAACAGTCTGAAGTGTTCATAGCAGTGGGATTCCCCTCGTACATCAATTGTACAACATCGAGTTTTCCAGCCCAAGCAGCTTGATGCAAAGGAATCCTCATGAGCCGGTCCCTGGCCATAACGTCAGCATCATTGTTGACAAGCCATCTTGCTGTCTTCCATTTCACTGCCAGGTGCAAAGCCGTTCTTCCTTCCTTATCTCGCAATGTTCTGTTCGCGATTTTCCACAGATATTCAACAATGGCTTGGTTCCCATGGAATGCAGCCCAGTGAAGGGCTGTTTTCCCTGAAGCATCACGGACATTGATGTCTGCGCCCGTCTTTGTCAATAACTTGACTGCCTCCAACAACCCTGCGATCGCGGCACAATGTATCGGTGCGACGTCATCTCTACCTTGCGCGTCGATGTGCGCGCCTCCCGCTAAGAACGCCCAGATGTTGTCATAGGAACTGCTCCCGATGGTTTCGTGCCTTTCTGTAGAACCATCATCTGGCCCTCCTTCAAAATTGCAAGCATAATGCAACGGTGTCCACTCAACCAAGTCGCGCGCGTTGACATCTGCTTCATAGAAAAATATCAAGTTCTTAACGAAACAGTGTCTACGCGCCCCGTAATGCAGCGGCGTCCAACCAAGGATGTCTTTTACGTTAACATCTTCTCCACGATAGAACGCGTCTTCGATACGTCTTCGGTTTTCGAGTCAGGGCTACTTCGTGCAAGTTTGTATAGCGGAACTTCTCATGATACCTGGCATTAGTTCTGCTGTAACCGTTGTTGTCTCCACTGCCGAATGTAGAGTCTCCAGAGAGATGGCACTTCCAAGGACGCTTCTGATCCTCATAAAATTTCAGAATGGCTGACAAAGTCGATGCAACTTCGAGTGATTCAAGTGATCTGGACCGAATCTCTCTCTTGATGTCGTCCCTAGCCCATGCGAGCGACAGGTCAACCAGTGAATTAGGTTTGTCCCACATCTGTCTTTGTCTTTCAGTCAAGTCCAAAGCCGAGTAAACTTGCCTCAGGAAATCCACAATAATGACTGTAGCTAAAGTGGATAGGTCATCGTCCAGCGGGAATGTCCCGGCGATGTGGAACAGCCACAAGTAGATACTTCCCGCCTGCTGCCAGTGCTGCAGCCTCTCATGATGGTATCTACGGGCTATTCGGAATGTCTGCAAAAGTCGTTGCAAACCGATCGAATTCGAAGCCAGGCCGAGTTTGAAGAGATTATGGTGGATTTGCAAGACCCCGCCTGACCCAGGCCCTTAAAGCAGCCAACGATAGCGCCGGGCTGTGCAATCGATACTGACCAGTGTAGCCCACGCATGCCACAGAACTGGACGATGTATCCACACAGACTGACGACTGTTCCAATGCTATTTTCCATTTCGATGGAGATCCCAGGTTTCTCGTTCACGGGAGTGATTGCTGGCATGACTTCCTGATCCAAGGAAGGCGCTGGAGGCTTTCTCTCATCGCGCCTCCGTTCCGATGTTATTATGAAAGGCCGTTTGGTTTTCGCATAGATTGCGAATGAGTCGAAAACCTGATCACTGACGGTTTTGGTTTGCTGTAGCCAGACCAACTGCGCCGTCAATTTACGAGAGGGCCGAAATACCTCTTCGATAGTGCTACTCTGGACAACTTGGCCGCAAAGGAGAAGACCAACAACCAGCAGAAGCGTCCCCGCCCAATGGCATGGGAACGCATACTGGGCGACCGGTTCTCCATCCTTAAGAAAACCTAGTGATGGGTCATATACGGAATATCCGGCGTATGCAATGAGTCCTAGCTGGAGCATAACGCCCCACACTGCTGCTATGCGTAGTTCAGTTCTGCTTGTGATGTTATGAGAGTTGAGGGTGATATTTGGCGAGCTCTTCCGCGGGTTCCGTGTGATAATTTCTCCTTGTCTTGTTCCGCGGAAGTCGATGAGTTTAGCGGCATTGCCTTGCTGAGGAGATTTCTTGGGGACTCGTTCTCTACCATGAGAGTGAGATCGTGCACATTCAATCCGGTTGAGGAACTCACCAGCAAAATATTGATTCTTGACCTTATGGAAAGGCATGACCTCCACGTGAACACCATCATTCACCCCAGACTCAGGTAGTAAGCAAATAATATTTGCCACTGGAGCCGACCCTATACATCTCACGACATTAGCCCTTGTTCAGCAAGAGCGAGATTCTCTCTAGCTCTGCCAATAAGAGCTTTGAGGAATCCGGGCCCTCCGACTCTTATTGCGCTAATTACTATGGTAATAATTCCCAGAGGCACCATGGCCAGGACAATATTGTCAGCCCAGCCTAGTGATTGACTCATAAACTGCATAGTAACCCTCTCTCCGAACAGGGCGAGCAATCTTTTCGCATACGATTTGTCAGTATACATCTTTCTAGCTAGTGTGAAGGATCTGAGGATGCGAGATTGGCGGTTCTAGGTCTGGGAACAGATTATTGACGAAGTCGTCTCCATCATCCGCTGCGACGCTCGCAGCGAGAGCAAGGGTGAAAAGAAATACCCGCATCATTTTTGCTATGATTCTTGCGCATTCATGCGCAATCAGTCGTTGAGTCTGTGTTGTTAATTCATCAGCCATATCGAGAGTACGCCTCTTAGTGTCTGGTAGGCGCTGAAATTTCGAAGAATGCATGTATGCTGTGTTGGTGATTTGGACGAGAGCGGCTAAACGAAACACCCGTGGGGGACCTCATGTTTTCAACGGAAGGAAAATAGGCCTTGACATGTCGGTGCAAGAATGTCTATCATTTGTAACTGCCTACTGTATCCACCCATAGGCAATATGCATATGCAGTAGGCCCATGTCAACAGACCGCTTCGCTTAGCGCCAACACATATTATACATGAGGCATCTCTGAATGGTTGGTGTTTGTACGGGTACGTTCCTCTACGTGCCCGGCTACTAGAATGTGGTGGTAGTATTATCTCCACCTTCTTGCCGTGCAACTGCACGGCAAGGTGCATGAAATTTCGTAAAGCCACTTCGGGGCTTGGTAACTAGATTGGCACCCGTAGGCGCCATTGCGATGTAACTTATCCAGATACAGCTTACATCAGAGGTAAGATGCGACAAGGGCGCCAGCGCCGAACATAGAGGCAACTGTGATGAAGCTGGCAGTGGAGAACAGAGAAATGCCGCTGAGTCCGTGTCCGGAAGTACAACCTCCACCGATTCTCGATCCCAGGCCAATAAGGAAACCTCCTACTACCGCCAGCTGTGGCGAGACAGCCGTATCAGCAGCACCCAGAGCAAACTCGGGGTATGTCGTCGCGACAGCCCACGCGCCGGCAGCCAAGCTCGCAGAGAAGAGAATGTTGCTATACGATGGCTTCCCCTTTTCGCCGCCACCCTGGACCGCCCACCAGAAGTACCGTCCAATCTCGTCGTAGGAAGTCGACACACCGAGCATGGACTTGCGGGAGAGCAGTGAAAAAAGCTGTGCCAGACCGATCAGGAGTCCGCCGATGGTGGGAGCGACGACGGCGTAGGGACTGGCGGGAGTATACTTCATGCTGGCGTAGATGATGCCCGCGAAAAGGGCTTCCACGCCAACGAAGGCGACGGCTCTGCTGAGACCGACGCGCTCGTGGACGGTGAGCTTGGGGTTCTCGGGCGGTGCCGAGCTGGCGTTGCTCGTAAGAAGTTTCTGGAGGAAGCCGGTCCACATGATGCCGGCGAGGACGGCGCCACCAAGGACGTAGACGCCGGATTTGGTGCCGACGGCGATCTGGGCGAGGACGGTGCCGGGGCAGGAGCCGGAGATGGCCATGCCGGCGCCGAGGATGGAGCCGCCGAGGATATTGCCGTCGTACTGGGAGAAGAGACCTAGACGCGAGGGGCTGCGGGGCTTGGGGCGGACGTAGCCCGCCTGGTCTAGTGCGAGGACGAAGACGCTGTATATCGTGTCAGTTGTGTGAGAGGATCAGAGGATAGCAGGTGCTGAGATGGTTAGACGTACGTGCTGCTTGCTGCGGCTGCGAGGAAGGCCTGGATCATATGCCAGTTCTCGAACTTGAGCTGGGCGATGATGACTGAGGGCTGGTAGACGCCCGCCGCTACCAGGGCGGCACCGAAAGCGGCGCCAGAGAGAGCCGTTGTTGCCATGACTTGGTCGGCTGTGGATGTGGGAGTGTGAATGTGTGTATATGTGTTTGTGCCGCGGGGGCGTTCTGGGACGAACTGCTGCAAGCTGGGAGTTTGGCGGGTGTGTGTTGTATATATGAGAGGTTTTCTCTTCTATGACTGGTCAAGCGAGGATGAGGTGGTGATGCGTGGTGGAAGTTCAAAATCTTCAAACTCTCCGAGCTGTCTCGGGACGAACTTATACAGTCTAAAGCCAAAACTGCCACAGAGGAGTTCAAATGTCTGGGAAGATTATCGAAAGTGCCAAGTTTTCGAGTCTGCTTAGTGAATCAAGCCCGAAAGCCCAGATACGTTCGGGGACTTGAAGAGAGACGGAAAAATGGACCGGTAGCGGGGCCCTTGGTTAATAATCCTCCCCCCATAGTCAAAGGCCGAAGAGTGAAGAGGGCCAACCCCTGTAGAGCTTCTACCCGCCTTGGTCAGGCAAGTGGTAGTGGTAAGGCCCCATTCTGTACTCTGTTGCTGAGGCCGAGCCGAGCGTCTGGGTTGACTTTTGTCAAAGGCGGTTTAGAGTGCAAGTGACGGATGGCTAGTGGCGTTGATTCTTAGACCTTGTTCCCTTTTCGGATAGCAATGACGCCTTTTGGGAGCTAACTCACGACATGGCGCTAGCTTATTTCTAGTCCTTTGGGAATGCGTATCCGAGGTTTTCTTCGTGGGGTGAGAGAAGCTACTTTCTCTGAAAGAGTATGGCGGTTCGATTTGCACGCATTTCAGATCCCCGATGAGATAAAGATGCATCTTCAAGAACAGGTGTTGCAGGTGGTGCGTGCGCCATTGTGGAAGGTCGGCAGTTCAGGGACCATGAAGTCCGTCAGCAAAGGATTGATTGGGCAGAGCAAGGTGTCCGAATAAGGGGGGATCAATAAGGTTGCAGGAAATCAGTTGAATCCCGTCCCAGGATGGTCCTGGATCCCGAACCCGAACCCGCAAGGGTTGTTGTCTCTCTCAGCCAAAGGGCCTGGGAGAGGACGGCGACCACTTTGAAGAAACGGTCGCCGACGTCGGGGAACTGCCGGAACGCACGGGCATCACCGAGAGTGGATACCCCTTCTTCACCGGGATGGATTACATCTCTCGGGGGCTTCCGTAAGCTTGGGCTTCTTTCGGTGACTACTACTGTGACCGAGGGACTTCATGCTCTCTAGATTATGGATTCATGGACGGCGAGGATTAAGTGAGATGTTTCGAGAGTTTGGATATAAGAATTGAGCAAGTGACCATATTGTAAATCTCCATCTTATAACTACATTATTAGCAAAACCACCAAAACTAGCCGATGAACCGGGTCAACCAGTTGCGAGAACATATCCACAACGCCTCACTTACACAGTCAAACATGGCCCAAGAACCCACAATCCACGAGATCTTTGAGCCGGTCACAGGCACATGGCAGTACATCGTAGCCGACCCTTCAACCAAAGCTGCAGTGATCATCGACTCCGTCTTGGATTTTGATCCAGCAAAGAACGCCATCTCTACACAAACAGCCGACGGTCTTCTCGACGTGGTAAAAAAGAATGGATACAATGTTGTCAATATCCTAGAGACACATGTCCACGCCGACCACTTGACGGCATCCAAATATTTACAGTCTCGGCTGCGGGAGGCACAGGACGGCGCCGCCCCCAAGATCTGTATCGGTAGACGGATCGGGGTCGTGCAAGAGAGGTTCGCTGAGAAGTATGGCATCTCCAAAGACGAGTACGCCAATGCCTTTGACCGACTGCTCGACGACGATGAGGTCTTCGAGATTGGAGACCTCAAGGCCAAGGCCATCCACCTGCCGGGCCATACCCCCGACCACATGGGCTACATGATCGGAGGTGAGCACTTCCCCACAGACAGTCACGAAGAACTCTCAGACCCATACTGACCATCACTTTCAATAGCAAACGTCTTTGCGGGTGACTCCCTCTTCAATCACGATGTCGGGTCCGCGCGATGCGACTTCCCCGGTGGTAATGCCCGCGACCTCTTCGCGTCGGTCCGCCGGCTGCTCGATCTGCCGGAGACCACCAAGATCTGGACAGGGCACGATTACCCGCCGGCCCACCGCGGACCCCTGGCGGCGACGGAAGTGGCGAAGCAAAAGACCGAGAACAAGCACCTAGCGCAGAACGTGACGGAGGAGGACTTTGTCAAGTGGCGCGAGGAGAGGGACTCAGGGCTCGGGGAGCCTAGGCTCATGCACTGGGCGCTGCAGGTCAACGTGAGGGCTGGGAATATGCCGAGTCCCACCAAGGCTGGAGATCGGTTGTTGCATGTGCCTGTCAAGATGCAGGGCGTGACTTGGTGAAAAGGGTTTTCATGTCGTGTAGGTAGTGAGAGCGTGCAAAGGAGCTTGTTTCGACTCCCGTGTATATGAGATGAGGGATGTGGAAGCGTTCATTGTATACTTAGTTACTTAGGCAAGTCGTCTTCGACAGCCAATCTTCCTATTTCGCATGTGTACGGTACATGAAGTTGTCACGAAGATCGAAAGCGGTAGAGAGCATGTAAGTGGTGGTGTCCCTGACAAGGTACATTACGTCGGTTGGCCCATGCGTTGCACCCCCCGCGCCACCGCCGCGTGGGGAAAGTGCCGAGGTCTCGTCACTGAATGCGGGGAGTTCGGCCCCGGCTGAGTGGAGGGACAGGAGGCCGGGGGACAACTACTCCCCCACCAAATCACAACGTCAACGTCGGCAGCGACCCGGTATATCATATTATTAATCTTGCTCGGTTCACTCTTTGCTGTTCACATAAGAGCTGGCGTGGCCCCCATTCCACTGAATTTGCGACACTGCATTGGATATCTACAGTATCAGTGCCGGTACATTGCATTTATACCATGCCTCACTCTATCACCGTCAAAAAGATCGAGGGGAAGCCCGGAAAGGTGTACTATCCGTAAGAAATGTATTCCCATTGTTTATGATATTACCGTAATTGATTCAAATCTCAGCCTCCAACTCAATGAAGTCCCAAAGCCGACCCCAGGGCCCAAAGATGTCTTGGTACGATTAACGGCCGCCGCTCTCAACCACCGTGATCTCTTCATCCGGCGCCACCTGTATCCAGGCATCTCATTTGATCACCCCCTTATGGCAGACGGATACGGCATCGTAGTCGAGGTTGGGAAAGACGCAGACAGAAGCCTTATCAATAAGCCAGTTCTCATCACACCCAGCCGCGGCTGGGCTTCAAGCCCGGACGGGCCGGAAGACATTCGCAAATTCAGCGTCATCGGCGCCACCCAGACGTACCCGGACGGCACCGCACAAGATTACCTCGCCCTCCCCCAGGACGAGGTCGAGCTGGCCCCAGAGCACCTCACACCCGCCGAAGGCGCCGCCCTACCCCTCGTCGGGCTCACGGGCTGGCGTGCGCTCGTGACGAAGAGCGGAAACGCGGAGAAGGGCAGGAACATTCTCGTCACGGGCATTGGGGGCGGCGTGGCGCTCCAGGTCCTCCAGTTTGCCGTCGCGTTTGGCTGCAACGTCTACGTCACCTCTGGCGACGAGGCCAAGATTGAAAAGGCCAAGAGTATGGGCGCCGCCGGGGGCGTGAATTACAAGAAGAAGGGGTGGGAGAAGGAGCTGCAGGCCCAGCTGCCCAAGTCGCGGCCGTACCTCGATGCAGTGGTCGACGGTGCCGGCGGAGAGATTGTGGGAAAGGCGGTCAAGGTGCTCAAGCCCGGCGGTGTCATTAGTCAGTACGGCATGACGGTGTCGCCGCAGATGGACTGGCTGATGCAGGCTGTACTCAAGAATGTGGAGCTCAAGGGCACGACTATGGGTTCCCGAGAGGAGTTTAGAGACATGGTTGCCTTTGTGAGGGAGAAGAAGATTAAGCCTGTTGTCAGCCGAACGGTCAAGGGACTGACGAACCTCGAGGGCATTGACGGGCTGTTCAAGGATATGGAAGCGGGCAAGCAGTTTGGCAAACTTGTGGTTGAGTTTGAGGAGCCCTCTGCGTCGCCTAAGCTGTAAGGGAGAACTTTGTGTTCCAATGTACGACATGGGTACAAATAGAGTATCCATGATGGCATCGAGGATTTCTCTGAATTTAATAACACTTTACGAGAATTGAAAGTTCTCTTACTCAAGGAATCCATTGTTCTCCATAGTAATTGGTTCCATTCGGTTGACCGCTATCTAAGAGACTTCTCAGCCAACTCGTACGTCTATTCCTTATGGGTGAAGTTGATTGAGCAAGCCTGTTATGTCCTCCAACGTGTCAATCAAACGTGTAGCCTTGAGTACTTTGCTGTATTCAGCAGGGCCTACGTTCTCGAGAGGCATAGTTGCTACCTGCGCAGAGGATTTGCCTAGAGATGTGTTTGCGCCTTCTGATTGCCTTCCAAGAGAGGTCACACAAACACAATTTTTGCCATGGGCTCTTTCATAGGATTTTCGGTACTTGCTTGGGTTGTGCCTTCCCTATACCGTTTTTCCAGTCTGTTCTGCCACCTCACTCTTTGCCTAGGCTTCTTGATCAAACCAAGTGTAAGTCAGTGAATATACACACGTGATAGGTGCCGCTAGACATAATGAATATTCACCCCCAAATCTGGCTACTGGTTTCTTCCAGTCCGCCCTCTTGCCTCACACTGGGTAAAGGACCCCTCTTGGGAGGCACTTCTCTCCGCTCGCCCAGTTCCTTCTTCTTTCACCTACAATAAAGAAGAAAAGATCCTGTCTCTCCCTCACCCATCTCAACTACAGCAACACGCTAAGCTTCTCGCTCGCAAACTACTGATATAGCTTACGCAACCCTATCATGTTGTGGCATAAAGCTATGTTCGTTGTCACGGCGCTGGCCTTGATGTTCTTTTCGGACATCAATGTCGTGGCCGCTACAGGTGGAATTGCAGACCTCAACACCGTTGAGACTCCCACTGAAGCCACCTTCAGCAACGGTCTTTCCAAGCGTAACTTCTCCATTGGCCCTCACCTTGCTCCCAGAGACTTCCCCCACGACAATCCCCTCAATATCACCGAAGAGGAGGCCCTCAAGCACGGCCACAAGGTCATCCCAGTCAACAAAGAGATCTGGGCCCACCTCGTCAAGACCGCCGGCCTCGACCGCAAGCGGGAGACCATCGAGTACAACCCTGAGCAGCACGACGAATCTCTCTCTAGCATCGGCAAGCGAGTCCCGAGATGCGGCGAAAACTACGACCTCGAGAAGGAGCCCCCTGACCCGCAAAACTGGTGTACTCCAAGCCCGATCGTCGGCGACTGCCAGCTCGGTATCTGGTGCCAGGCCGACTGGCCGGGCTGGAGGCAGTGGCCTAGCCGCGGCTGGGTCTTCAACAACGCCTGCCAGCTTTTCGGAGAGAACGTGCCTTTCCAATGGGGCGACTGGCAGCCAATTTGCAGTCCCCTTCCCTACGTCACTCTCTTCTTTGCCCACAAGGACCGCTGGCCTCACATGGCGTACGTATCATCCTCTCCAAACTTTTTATCGCTTCTTGTCGAATGAGGACTAATACAGTCTACTCTAGGTACGGTGGCAAATACTACAACAGCTACGCTCCAGGATGGGAGATTTACTATCCCGAATCGCCGGAGGGTGGCCCTTTCCCGGCTAGCTACTACTATCATCGTACCTTTGATTGCTCGATGAAGCCGAAAAAGTGAGGCTAGATCGGTACAGATGTCTGAAGGGGCAGTCGAATGCTGGAGTTTGTTCCTCTGCACGACCGATACCTCGATCACACGCCCTCAGCAATGGGAGGAATGAGCAAAGATTGGCCCTAAAGAAACAGAACTTGCCTGGAGACACACAAAGGTTGAAGATTAAGAAAATTTTAGGCCACCTCGCTTAGGTAGTGAACACCGCCTTGGTTTCTCAAGTTAATTGCATAACACATCGTGAACTTTTCCCTATATTGACATTTCGCTTTTGATTTACAACCCTTCAGGCGGTGAAGTTTGAGGAGATCGCCGACATGTCAGAAGACTCTTGAACTCTTGAATGGAAGGGTATCTTGAGTGAGCTAACACCTCACCTACGTACGTGGCGACCCCTTTTCTGCAAAGATACAACAGACACCTGCCCCAGACTACACAATTTCTTCCGCTTCCTCCACATCTCAGATCCTCTTTACCCCTCACTCGTCGTCCTCGCTCTTCTTTCTCTTCTTCCTCTTGTGGCCGAGCTCTTCGGGGGGTATAAAGTCCTTTTCCCTCTCGCGCAACTTCTCCTCCTTCTTCTGCTTCTGCTGCTCCAAGCGCTCGGCCTGCGCGGCCTTGTTCTTGGCCTCCTTGCCCAAAAAGTACTCGCCCGTCTCGATCTGCTTGTCGACCTTGCTCTTCTCGGGCGCGGGCGGGAAGGGCGTGTAGACCTTTTTGGTCTTGTCCGTGACGTTGTGCGGCACGCGGCGGCGGCTGAGCGACTTCTTTTTGAAATTAGGCAGGAAGCGGTCCCAGCTCTCCTCGGCGAGCTCCGGGTCCTTTGCGAGCTCGCGCTTGATCATGAGCTCCTTGACGTGGTAGATGGGGTGGATGTTCTCCATGCAGTCCTGGACGACGCGGCGCACCTCCTTGAGGCCCTTGTAAGGGCCCATGACGGAGACGGTGCTGCCCTGCACGAGGATGTAGGTCTGAGTGAGCAGCTCGAGGGCCTTGAGGGTCGAGCCGTTGGGGCCGAGGATGCGCTGGCGGCGCTTGACGTAGCGCTCCTTGTTGCGGACCAGGTTGCGGATCTTGATGATGTCGCATGCGACGCCGTCGTCGAGGATCTTGAGAGCCTGCGGCGCGGGGACGCTTCGGGCCAGGAGCTTGATGAGGTCGCGGGCGTTGAGAATGGCGGCGGGGTCAAATGTTTTTCTGGAGGCAGAGAACAGCATGTTAGTTACTGTGGTGGAGTGGGCCGAGCATTGAAGAAGATTATTGCAGACTGGAATACGGACCTTGTCGTCTTGACGGTCATTGAACCCTCAATCAAGTCGAGCGAGCAAGCGATGCCCGTCTTCTCGAGAGCCTTTGTAACGAGAGGCCATGCCTCCTTGAGGTACACTTCGCGGTACTTGGGGAAAACGATCTGGAAGGAGGATTCCTCAGCAAATGTGCCGCCGGCGTTGTCGGCGGGTGTGAAGGCGTCGATTTTCCATTTGTCAATGTCGTCCGTGTCCCACGGCTTGTCCTTCTTGTATGTGGAGGGCATCTTATCGGTTGTCGCGTGTTTGCAAGACAATGGAATTGACGCCGAATTGTATACGAGAAAAGTTTCGTAGTTACTTACTGGTGGCTGCGGCGAACTTTTTCTTATCGATAACGCTGGAGACGGCACGTGGGGTACACCGGTTTTTATGGACCCATCCGGCATCTTCAAGGTGAAGTCGTCCCAGTTCACATTGTGGGAGTGGGAGACCAGTAACGGTATCAATCTAGTGGTTTTAACCTTGACAACTTATGCGATTTGAATGCAATTGCGAGTTTGGTGTATTCCGGGAATGCGCATTGGAACGACGTTTCTAATCAGTCAAGGGTTACTGCTTTCAAAGTTGCTGTTTAATTGCGAACCCTTAGATCTGCGTGAGAGCCACAACTGGATAGCGTTAGGATTCTGGTGAGGACTGTTTTGGCATGTCACTCTGAATGACAGATTTATCCGAGCAGAGTGATCGATTGCACGTATGTGTCCAAGTTTTCGAGGTTTTCTCACCGGCGCTCCGAATCGGGAATCTGCAAAGCGTATCCGTACCACCCTAAGGTACCTTCCGAGTCGGCGTCGCCGTGAGATCTTCATATCAGATAACAGCGAACCTTCTTTCAGCGCTTATGCGTGCGGGTACTGGGGCCGTTGCGACCACCCCAAGTATTACCTCCTCTTTCTGATGATCAGTGAGAGAAAACTTCAAGATCCTGACACACCAGCACAGCGCGTGCTGTAAGGCTGAATGGGGTAGCCGATCCAATCAAATCGTGGCTCCCGTAATACGGTCCAGTGGGACGACCAGTTGGGTAATCAGTATCGCCGATAGGCTCAGTTGACATTTATCGCGTCCCGTCCATCCCCAGTAAATTGGCCCTCCATCCTGATCGATTAAGGGGATGCGGGATGAAATCAATCCGTTCGCCATTCCATCTATTCTCCCCTATTCCAAAAGTCAACCAGCTTTTGTGTCCAACGTGCCTTCGTAATGTCTGAGACCTGGCTGTAGCTTTACCTTGTAACCTTAGTTTCCTCCCCGCAATTCTGTCCTAGGGAACGTACCTGTCTCCCCCCTCTAACTCAACCATTTGCTCCTTTCTGAGTCGCCTCCAGCGCGTCTTCCCGCTGAACAATTTTTTTTTTCGCACTCCTGCGTATTTGCACCTGCCATCTACCACCCAAGCGCCTGACTACACACAAACATACACGTTTCGCAACCTCGACTTCGCGCCTCGACCTAAATCCTCCTCGCAAGCCACTTTTTTGAGCTCTGTACGTGGGTCTTTCTTGCGAAAAACTTGCGACTGCACCACACGCGCGCCTTGCGATCGCGAAGCGGCATTCGATAGCCTCCCTCCTTCGACATAGTCCTCCCGTCCGCGACGATTTCGCTGCAACCGCCATCCTGGCTGCCGTTCGAGAGCCTTCTGCGCCTGCTCCGGCATTGGACAACATCACAGAGCACGAGCACGATCACGATCTTCCCTCCTTTCGAGACGTCATGGAGGAAGCCACGGCTCTGGCTACCCTTGCGTTGCCGCAAACGAACCTCGAGACAATCTCGCGGCCCAGTTCCACGTCGACTTCGGAATCCGCTTCCGCAGCCGCAGTTGTAGCCGCGGCCTCCACGGTTCCTCAGTTGCCAGGCATTTCAGCGCTTGCCCAGGCCAACAACTCTGCGACGAGCTCGCCTCAGATGCGGTACGTGAGTATGCTTGGTGTCAGGAGAAGAGACGAAGAATGCGCAGAGGGACATGACGGACGATCAGCTTGATGGCCACGATTCACTTGCGCTACTCCCGCGCTCGCCGTATAACCTTGAAGCCATTTCGGCGACAAAGAAGGCGATGCAGCCATTGCGCTCCATCGACAGATCTCCCTCTGCTGCTATATCATTGGCTAGTCCACAGTCTGGTTTCAGTGGTGGAAGAAACAGTCGAGATGGGATGGAAGAAGACGTGAACACAAAAGTGACGAGAGCTTCATGTGCTGACTTTGATCCACAGAGAAGCGATTCCCGCGCCCGCTCCCGTTGCCGCCTCCACACCGACTCAGGCGCCCGCGCCCGCGCCAGCCCCCGTGCCGACGCCGACTTACGCTTCTGGCGGAGGATCCACCACGGTATGTCTGTTTTTACCTTACCTTATCCCACCTTGTACGGAGACCATCGCGGGTATCTTATCATCGAATCCAATCCCGAACCCCAAAAAAAACTCCCCCATCTCCTGCGTTAGTGTTATCGCAATTACCGTTCAGGTATTGCTGTTATCTAAGAACCAATGAACCCTGCAAGGCAGGTGTGGGGCTGCAACTGGGCGCGGTCGTTCCTTCCCTGTCTTATCTTTGCTCCACAGATAAGTTTTCTTGTTCCCATGCAGCGATAGTCGTCAACACCAAGACCAGCGTCCCAACTCTCATCGCGCGCTTCACCCCGTCAAGCACTACGAACAAGCAAACGGTCATATTTTTTTCGCATTTATTTTGGAGCACATACTTGGAACTCCTTGACGGAATCTTTTGCGACCATTTCGCTGGCGTTGCGCATCATGATGGCCACCCAAGCTAACGAATCTACGCAGCCAACATGCCAAAACTGCCAGACCTCAACCACGCCCTTGTGGCGGCGCGATGAGTATGGATCAGTCCTCTGCAATGCATGCGGACTGTTCCTCAAGTTGCATGTGAGTGTATCGCATTCTTTTCATAGAAAGACGAGCTAATACGGTATTAGGGTCGTCCGCGTCCGATCTCGCTCAAGACCGACGTGATCAAGAGCCGAAACCGCGTGAAGACGATGCGCCCTGATCTTGCATCTAAGAAAAAGGTACATGATCCGTTGACATTTCCCAACTGTGGCTAATAATGCGACTAGCAACAGCAGCAGCAACAACAAGCCCACCAGTTTGGCGCAAACGATCCGAACGGCCTCGACATCCATGGGCAGAACCAGCGCAGACAGTCGCAAAAGTCAAACGGCAATCCGGACGGCTCTGACTCTCCCGTTTCTCGTACCGCAACCCCTTCTCTATACAACCCTAGCCTCCCGGTCTTCCAGGGCATGGACGATGCGCAACTTCAGGCTGGACTGCAGGGCTTCAACGTCTCTGGGTCGGACAACCGCTCGGGCTCCCCCCTGAATGGCGACCGACACCTCGATGTCCCGCAAACACATGAGCAGCTCATTGCCGCCAATTCTGCCCTCAAAACCCGGGTTAGCGAACTAGAGCTGATCAACGAACTTTTCCGTGGTCGGCTCAGCCAAATGGAGCAAGACGAAGCGAGCGCAAGAAGAGGGCAGGAAATCAGCGGCAAAGCAGAAGCTCAGCTGCGGGCTCAGCTTGAGAGCAGCAAGAAGCAATTGGACGAGAGCCATCGCAGAGAAAACAACCTCAAGCGACGTCTCGACGAGATGGAGCTGGAGCTGAAGGAGGCCAGAGATGCCCTGGACCTTTCTGACTCTGGCCGCGCAGCAAAAAAGCCTAGGATTGCCGAAGTGGTTACCAATCCAGCCGTTGCTGCGGCCACGAGCGGAGGAGGCGGTGACGGTGGTGGTGGTGGAGAATCCGAAGTCTCGACTCCTCAATCCGCCGCCGCGAACTGAGATGGCACCATCCGGGGCCCAAATCACCGTTACCTGCGCGATTTCCACGTACATCACCACCACTACCACCACCACCACCACCACCACCGCCAAATCCCAACATCTCAGGACGACGCTTTGCAAAATTCTCCACGCTTATACCTATAATGCCGCGTGTGTTTTTCCGTGTTTCTTTTCTTGGTTTACCCCCGGATATCCTACGGGATCCGGGTACGATGGCTCGGGCTGCTTGCTGCTAGAGGGACAGGCGTTGCGGCCCTGCGGGTCAAGGTAGTCAAAAGTTTTTATTGTGACAAAAAATAGAGGCTTTACGGGATTGATGACCACACAAACCATACTCTTATCCTTTGGAGTTGTTTCCTATTCTGCTGATGTGACGCTCGGTTCCAAGCTACGTGATCTGGATGGTTTGGGTGGAGAAGGGGAGTGGAGGACGAGGACAGTATCGTGAACCACGAATGCGTATCAGTAGCATGGCTATTGTCAGTGCCATTGATGAGTCTTAAGGAGGGAGGAAAGGGCTTAGCCTCCCGACGCCCCTCTTGTAAGCCGATGTCCGTCGTTCCCGTGTAAGCATACTTCTAGAGAAACTCGACCCTTGGTATCCGAAGAGCCGCTTAACAAGTGGGCAGAGTGTACGCGCGTCAAGTGTCAGGCTATCGATGCAACCGAATTCTGGTTAGAAGCGATAGTTGGAGAGGTGATAGCGTGTGTTGAGAGGTGATATATTGTCAAAGTGAAGAGAGGGACAACGCACAGGTGATGGGAAAGAATAGACGACGATAAATATGAACCCTAGGTGGATTCGGCCTCCTAACTCCGATTCTTCTCACTTTAGCCTCATACCGTTTGAGTAGAGATATGTACACACAATCGAAGGGGAAATCAATATGCTCATAGGGAAGATTATGGGTTGGGCAAAGGAAGAACCCCATTTGTGGTGAATGCAAGATGCGTTGAAACTAAAGTCGTTTATAGTCTTGGCAGTTCTTATCATATTTGAAAAATCCATGTAGCATAACTGAGATATCACAGATGACGAGTTGGTCGTAGGACGCAAGAGCATTCAGAACCTTCAGTAGAACCGCAGAAGAGTAATATCAATCGCAGATATATCTCTTGGAACCCTCAAACTACCTATGCCCCCATCCAAAGCTACTGAATAGTCTAGTCATGATAGCTTCTAGCTAGGGTCCTGGGGTGAAGTAGAAGATGGAACATTTATCACAAACATGCAAATTTCCCCTCAAACTCTTTGGCATGGTTGCCATGCAGTGTCATAGAAAGCTAGCACGGGTCCAAAAAGCAATCGTGGCTGTCAATGGCATGTTCACAACCCTTCTTCCCTCACAGGGAGCCGAGGGAGAGAGACAGCCTAGACCTGAAGTGCGATTAGATAACTACCTACTCCTTGGCATCTTATGTAGAGAGACATGCGCGGATAGAAGCTGGGAGAGCATATAGAGACAAGGATGTCTGCTTGGGATGGATGCTCCTAGAGAAAGGAAAGCGACGGGCGCATCCATTCCCTTCCCCTCCCGCCCGGACAGGCTCCATATTTTCCCTATCATTCGCGGGGTTTCGATAACGCCCCTGTTGACTTGACTGAGGTAATCGTTGAGGAAAGTCTCAAGAAGTGGACTGTTGAATTGGTACCTAAAGCGACGTCTTGCCGTTCCTGTCCCCAATGATGCTACGCTTGCAGATTGACGTAGGTATTCGAACGGCGGTGATCTCTCTTGGCTCTTTTTCGGACTCTGTCGGTACGGGGCACGGATACCGGTACCAAGTTCAGGGCAGAATTACGGATACACACAGACTTGTGATTGCGATCCCTGGAAATCCTTCGCCCCGGACTGGAAGGCAGGGATGATGGCATCATATAATTTTTGTTTTTCCTTGGTGCAAGGGCTTCTTTTTGGACGTGCACGACTGCGATAGAGGGGTTGGGGAAGGGAGATAAGACATCATTATCAAGGTTATCGTCGAGAAAGAAGGGGAATGGGAAACTGAATTAAATAAAAGGCCCTTCTCGGTCCCATGTTGCCCGAGTACATAAGGAACCTTGAAAACGCGTGGCTTCTGAAGAGCTCTCAAGCTATCACTTTATTTGCCTGGGAAAACAAGTCCAAAACCCACAAGGTAAAGCTCATCCGGGTTTGTTGTCTGTTGATGCGCGTCTTTTGCTTTTCTTTACAAGAAACAGATTGGCATTAGCAAATAGGTACACGATCGAGGCGCAGCAACAAAATCAAGGAAAACAAAATAATTGGAACAATTTACATCTGACAAGGGTTGAAAACGGAATTTTCGCTCTCTGCATGCCTACTGTGGCGAACATTAGTGGCGTGTCCGGCGGGATGATACCTGAGGTAGAGCCGAACACACACTGATGAGAAAGCAGCAAGCCTCGGTGGCTTGCGCGCTTTTGCTTGCTTGACGGGATTCACTGGAAGGGCAACAGGGCTCCGGGGGAATGTTGTGCGTGCCGTTGGTCGCTATGGAGGACGGGGATAAAAGATTACCACGGATTCCAGAGCTGATTCTTCGCACCGAGGTTTTGCTGACCCCACGTTTCTTCAGGTTTTCATGTGAGGTACCTCACATTGGGCGAGGCACAAGTATGTCTGTCCTACGCCCCCCTGGAGGGAGTACTCAGCACGTAATGTGTGGTCGACAGCAACCCCGATGGCAAAAAGCACACCACCCTCACCCAGCTCTCTCTCTCCTACCAATGCTAGGTAGGAAGCTCGAAAACTAGTTCCCTCAACATTCTCCCTGCGTGTGTGCTGCTTGTGGTTGGAAGACCCCCGTCCGACCCTCTTCCGCGGACGACGGCCCGTGGTCTAGAAACCATTTAGACGACGAACGAGTTCCCAAGGCAGTGGGATGTACATTTCACAAGCTCGGACGCCCGGAGCCCACGCCCACTTACCACCGGCCGACCGATGGATCGACCAAGGCAAGCAGCCAGGCCAAGTCAACGCTTTTCGCAACGCAGTCGCTCCAATAGCGGGCCAGCCAGAAGCAGAATAGAGAGAGAGAGCAAAGGCCTACCTAGGTCTGTCTAGGCACCATTCTCCGTGTCCCTCTACCGTATTACGTTGCCGCAACCTCTGGTCTACTTTGGGTCCATCTCTCGGCGGCCTCTCATCATTGGCCGATGAGGATTCGTTTTCCTGTGCCCCAGCGGCCGTTTTAGGCAAGTGGAGTTCCCCCGTCCTCCACTCCAACCCCAACCTGGGGGGGGAACGGGACGAGCCCAGGGCCACACGCCCCATGGGTTCTGGAGAGGTACCTTCGGGCTTCACGCTTACGGGCCACACGGTCCCACGGCTCACGGAGGGAATCGGGGGAACGGACGGCGAGCGAGAGAAGAGGCGTGGCGTGCTGTATGCAGGTAGGGAAAGAGATGGATGGAGAGAGAGATGATTACCTGCATGCCGATTCCGCCATGGTTTTTAATTCCCATATCAATTGGCACACCCGACATGCCCGCACTTGAATCCGTGGCTCTTGTCGCAAAATCTCCATTCACATTCATCCTCTCGTTTTCCGTGTTTATGCCTGCTCGTCTCTCTTTCTACCTTTTGACTGAATGCCTGGGCTTATCACATCCAATCGCCAAATCGTGTGGAACATTGCAGTTGCAGGGTGGAAATCTCGCAACTGACACCAGGGAGGAACGTCGGCTCCATCCCTCTCGTGTCTAGTTCCCTCCAGAGACATTCCAGACGGGCGTCCAGCTCCATATCTCTCATATCTCGCGGCTATCTCTTCACAACCACACCAGCATACCAATTCGCACTTTTTTTTCTTAACCGCCTCCATTATTGACATTGGCCACCTTCCTCCAGTCCCCCCCTCTCCCTTCCCGGAGCAATCATAATCCTCCTTTACAACACCATGTCGATAACAGTTGGTTAACAATTCACCATCACCCTCTCGAAAGCGACCCATGTCTTCTTTCTCCCACAGAAACTCAAGAACCCACATCTTTCTAAACCGATCGTCGCCCTAATTACACGCCCAATTGCCCGTCTTTCAGACAAGCAAAATATCACTACACGGGTTAGACAAACACCTAAAAAGAAGAAGACGAAGAAGAAAAGAAGCACCAACACAACAATCACAGAAAAATGCTTCAAATGTCACAACTACCAAACCGGGCAGGCTACAGCCCCCTCGTGCCCTCGCCCCTAAACCCAGACGTCCACGCCGTCGCACCGCAACGCTGCCACCAGAAACTGCGCGAAAAGAGGCGCCAACAGGGCCGCGGCGACGTGAGCCCGACCCAGAGACTCCTCCGCCACAAGGCCGCCATGGCCTGGAAGTCGGAAGCCCTGACGCGGGAGAGCACAATGTACACGAGGGACGAGATCCTCGACATCCTCGCAGAGTGCGATCGCCAAGACGAGGTCGCGGCGAGGGGGCTCATTGTCATGGCTACCTCGAACCAGCCGCCGTGGCCGCCGTCGTCCCAGAAGCAGCAGCAGCAACAGCAGAAGAAGCAGCCAAAGGTCCACATTCGGGCGGCGCACTGGAAGGAGCACGAGGGCGAGGAGTACGATTTCTTCTGCGAGGCTGACGACGACGCGGACGAGAGCGCGCGGCAGTGGGGGTCGCTCGTGCCCAGGCTACGAAGTCCCTTTTCCAAAGATACCGCTCGCCGGGTTGCGTTGGCATTCGGGTTGATGTGTATCTGTGGATGTCTACCGGCCCTTCGAGCCCACGGCTTCCACATGTATTCGGCTACCGAGGCTACGTAAAATCTCATGGACCCCATTTCTGGCCACATTGAACAAGTCCACCAGCTCGTCATCAGGCGGAATGGAACTTCATGATTCTAGCCCGACCCAAAAGCAAAAGAGAAGAGTCTGTCTATCGGAGCGGGGCTTTATCGTCATACATACATCAGGCCGAACCAGCTCACGTCTAGAGAGCATACATTACAAACATTACAGACGTCCATCATCCTACAAGTCGTTGCCGAGGCTACT